GAAGAAATTAATGAAAATATTTGTTTTTCTTCATCTTTTAATGAAATGTGTTGATTGTGTTTTTCCTGTGCTATTGATACTTGACCTCAAATACAACATTAAGACTCGTGTTTTCCTACCTTTGCTAAATTTGCACTGTTGCTGCAGAATCCATCCTCCTTTTTCCACCACCTGTAATGCTGCTTGGCTTGTGTTTCTCGATAAGGGAGATCTTTGTTGCAGTTGTGTGTACCATACATAATGTGCTGAGCATCACTGCTTGAAATCTATAAGCATGAAAAAGGGTTGAGTAGATGATTTGCATATGAAATTATAGACAGCTCTTGAAAATTGTCTAAAGTGTTCCACATGTGGTTGTAAATAAAGCTCAGCTGAAAATCATCCAAGCTACATGAAACTTGCATCTGATGATGGCCTGTAGCCATAATCTACACTTGTAGCTTTGAAAAATTTTCTAGGGCTTCCTGCTAATCCAGTTTAACTGTTACTGTTCAAGATCTAATAGCAGACATTTAAGGATCAGTTAATGCAAGCTATGATTCAAAATACAACATTTGTTATGTATTTTGCATTACTGTATTAAAAGAAAGGTTTGTGTGAGTTACCTCTACACTCCTTTGAGAGAAGGCTTAGGAATGAGAAGTCTGAATTATGTCCCATCCAAACTTTACTGCTAGTTTACATAAATTCAAGTTTTCAGGGCTTTATGAGAAAAAGAGACTTGTGCTTCAGAAGGGAATTGTACTTTGCAGAATGGAAGGAGAGAGGAAGAACTTGGACAACCCATATACTCATTGAGTAAAAACTCAGGTAAAAAATAAAATTGTAGCAGTGCAACAATGATTGACTGAAAAGCCAGAGTAAATGTTTATAACTTTGTCCAAAGGTGATTAGAATAAATGACAAAACTCTATTTGTGTATTTCAGCTTTATAGGAAGCAATCTGTACCCCACTTTAGAATTAGCTTTTGTGTTCTGTTGGTTTTATTTTGGAAATAGAGAGGTATCTGTTGTTGAAGGTGAGTTTGTTTGGTTTGGATTTCTTGTGGTAACTTTTTTTAATGTTTTCATTAACTGTTTTCTGGTCTAAAAAAATCAGCAGTTTCAGGAAAAATCTCTTTGTAAACCACTAATTGTTGAGCTTAATATTACCATATTCAGGCAGTTTTGGAGAGAATAGACTGAGATTATACTGATGAATGCAGTGGGGAAGAAGTAAAGGGGCAAGGAAAAGTGAGAGATGAGAAACAGTTTTTACTGCTAAGAGTGATGAAAAATGAATGACAGATGAATGTCTATAATATAAGCTGAGGAGAGTGGATTTTCAAACTGGCAAGATTTTCTGCTTGTTATATTAGTACTGTTTAGTAATTTATTTTCACATGCTGCAAATAGTGTTGTTTTCTGAATAGGTTATGTATTTGCCCAAAAGGGACTTTTCTTTAAAACCATTCAGCTAACTGCAAGGAACTCTGAACACACAGTGTGCTTCCATGGTCAATGTGTAACCCAACTTGAAGTTGTTTTTTTAATAGTTTTCTTATTCTTTCTAGAAAGTAGCAAACTTTAACCTCCTTCATCCACTGCCTGTATGTGAAAATAAGAATTGAGCAGCTTGTCTTTATCTTTTTTTTTTTTTTTCCTGCTTTATTATTTTCCCTCCTCTAAGATATACATTTATCACGATTACTGGTGATGCCCTAGAACACTGTCATGTTGAGTTTCATATAAATATAATGGCAAAAGATTCCTCTGTGTCCTTTTTTGCCCTTGGGGAAAAAAAAGATACAGTAAGACTCTGACTTGCTGAAGACCATACAATGAGGTTGCTGGGTTTTTTTGTTTTTTTTTTTTTAGTTCAGAACTACACTCATTTTTCTTGACTATCAATAAAATTCTAGTGGTTGAACCGTATTCTTCCCTGCTTCAGTTGCCTACAGTGAAGTCAGATACATACTAATTGCTGTTAAGGGTAGAGTTTACTGGTAACATCTAGAAGTTTGTTTGCGCTGGGGCATTTCTTATTTTTTTCCTTTTTTTTTCCTTTTTTTTTTTCAGTCAGCAAGGAGATCCACATTCTTACTGTCTGGAGATAAAGTGTAATGTATTTTGCAGTATGATGATGTGAAGATTTAAACCAATGCAAATTAATGTACTTACTCCTACGCACTTTTAATTTTTCAGGGTGTGTTCTTGTCCTTCTGTCGAACTGTATATTATCTTTTTAATATGAAACTATATGGAAAGCAAATAAGAGAAGCAAGCCTGTGATTCACTTGAATCTAAGCAGTAAAATAGGAAGCTTTTGCAAATAAAATACTGAACTATCACAACTTTCCTACAGAATTTTAAATTATTTTTTGAAGAAGGTGGATATGATAGTAATTGTGGTCATGTTGCCATTGTAATCAAAGAATGGAAGCAAGATGTGATAAGCAGTGAGGCATTCAGTTTGATAAGTACCAGTACTGTCCACAAGCAAGTTACAGTGGTTTGTACAGTTTGGCTTTATATTTGCCTGTGTAAACTGTCTAAACTGCAAACATAATCAATTTAAACCCAGGATATTTGTTTTAAATCTGTATTTATCTTGAAGCATTGGCTGCGGATCTAGTCCTACTTCTAGTTATGTGGGAGAAGAGACTGAACCCCACCTCACCACAGCCTCCTTTCAGGTACTTGTAGAGAGCTAGGAGGTCTCCCCTGAGCCTCCTCTTCTCCAGACTAAGCAATACCAGCTCCCTCTGCTGCTCCTCGTAACACTCATGCTCCAGACCTCTCACAGCTTCATTGCCCTTCTCTGGACATGCTCCAGGGCCTCAAATTCTTTCTTGTAGTGAGAGGCCTAAAACTGAACACATCACTCAAGGTTTGTCCTCGCCAGGTTGAGTACTGAGGCACAGATATAAGTTCCTGTTGTACACAATTTGCAATCTTCTGTTTTTAGTTCATACTGTGCTAGGTTAAACTGCATTAGGAAGTAAATAAACAGCTTGCATAGATACCTAGGAGGATGTAAATAAACAAGAATATATATTTTATTGGTTAGAATAATCAAATTCAGTAAACCGGTTTTTTTTTCCTTTTAAGAGAATAATCTGGAAGATAAATTGACCTAGAAGGTAAAAAAAAGTTGTCTTTAGCAATCTTAGAACTGGATATTGAAGAGAAACATGATCTTGGCTGCAGTCTTAGACAGAAAATAAGATGAGGTCTTACACTTGACATATCAAAATAAACTCATATATAACACAAGTGAATAGGACTAAATGTTTGAAAGGAGCTTAGAATTATATTAAATAGGTAATGAAGATAAATGTGTTGCATTAAAACAAAGAAAACAGTGCATATGACAACCAATACTACTGAGTGTTGCTATATCTCAGAAATGTCTAAGGATGCTTTCGCGCTGTTTTGATACAAACAACACATAAATAGAACAGCAGAATTAAAATGACACAGTCATCTGCATAGGTAAGTGATCTGATAGAATTTAAGTCATTAAAGCAGTGGTTGAAGAACATCTGGTTAATATTATTTAGATTTCCCTTAAGATTATTGTGAAGTTTAGCGTTCACAAAATGAGAGATAAAATGCTTTCTTGGATTGATGACTCACTGAGATGGGAAAACAATGTTAGGATCAAATGATCAATTAGTGTTCTGGCAAAAAGCCCATCTAGGTGCAGAAGGTATTCAAGTGTATTAGGACATAGTGTTAATGCATATGTGAGCTATATTTACTAAATTATGTATATAGTGTTATATGTAAAATACAGTTAGATTCACTGGGTTCAAACAACATGTAGTGTTCAAATCAGAGTAGATAAACAACAATAACAGACAAACGAACATTGATTAATGCAAAGTAGTGTGCAATGTGCACAGAAGAGGGAAACTTGGATTAGTCATACGTCTGTGTTTCAAATTAAATACAGCTGCTCAGGGAAAAAAAATCTTAGCCAGTAGTTTTCAAAACTTGATTAAGACTTCTCTTCCTTTTGCAACTAAAGTATAAGGTGTAAGTGATGTTAAAAAGACGAGTGAGTGGAAAAATACTATGGAAATGATTTTGATCACCTTGTATGGATCAATGATACAATACAGCATACGTATGTAAAATTACTGTTACTGTACTCCTCTCAATCCTTTTATTTTCTAAGTACCTCCCATGAAGTCAAATAAGAGAAAACGTGAGATTGTTTATGCTAGAGAACAGGCACGAATACATACATAAGTGCAATCTGTTACGTACATGGAGCAATGAACTGTGAATTAAACTATAAAAAGTAAAGCCAATACAAGTTTTCCATCTGAGTATTTGTTTAAGAAACCAATCGGTGTCAAATGAAACTCAGAACTGAAAAAAGATAGCTTGACGACACAGGGTATTAAAGCAAAAGATTCAAAGATATTAGAATTTATACTTCTTCATTTCATGAGATATGTTTTTGAGGAAAGATTGATGCCGAAAGGATGTCAGTGAGTGGCTGTGTTTTAGAGTTTTTTATAATTTGGAGAGCTCGCAAAGTTCTCAGAACTTTGGGTAGTTTGTTCTCTCTGAAAAGTGCTTTAAACCTGTTTGAGGTTACGTATTTTTCCATTTCTGGTAATGCAGGTCATTTTCATTTAAGTTTTTTGTCAAAGGGCTGAGTGAATCTTGCTTGTTTTGCTTGAGAAACACTGCTCTGTGTGGAGACTTCTATGTAGCTGAGAAGTTAGTGACATCTCATGGTAACCGTGGAAAATTACAGGTGATTTGTGGTAAAGTTTGGAGTGTGTAATTTAATGGACATTGTAAATGTTGTCTAGGTTGAAATATGCTTGTACATAGCTCTCATGTTTAATTCTAAAGTGTTCATTATTTACCTAATAACTACTTTATTTCTAAGCCTTACTGGAAGTATTGAAACTTGTCAATATTTGAAGTCCAAATATAGTGGTGTGTAATAGCTAGATGTTTGTCAACTGAAATCAGACTTTCCTGTTTTCTTGTTTTAGGTACAAAGTCAGCTGCAGAATATGCTAATTGTGCTTATGATATTGTGTCCCCTGCTCCATCAGTATATTTGGGCACATTTCAAATTTTGCATCTCCTGGAAGATCTAAAGATGGCTTTGGAAATGTTAGAGGATCCTCAAGAGAAAGAAGCACTGCGAAATCAAATTCCAGGGGCCACAGCAGTATGTATACGGGAGTGGTTTGAAGAGAATCTGGTGAGTATTTATTTCTAACTTTATCATTTTGTTTGTTTGTAAACAGCCTTAGGTCAAGTATTTTCATGCTTCAGTGACTTTTATTATGACTGAAATCTGTCCTCTTAGAGAACTGCAGCAGATTTAAATAATCATAAAAAGCTGTTGATATTACCACTTTATAAGGTGATGATTAAATGCACACAGGAGTATGAGAAGTTCATAGACCTCAGGTTGTGTTGGGTGTAGTAAAAGCAAAGCTCAAAGTGAACTTTCCTGTGATGTTTTTTGCTTTTATTTGTTTTTGCTGTTGATATTCAACCTTTGCTGAAGATAACATATAAGTGTATATATACAAAAAGCTTGTCATTTTTAAATTTATCAATTTGGAATTTGGTGATGTTGTCTGATGAAGGAAGAGATAGGAATAAAATGGATGATTCTGTATCATTTTGCTTGCTACGTTTCCTTTGCCTTAGTTGTTGGTATTCTGAAACTCCAAGGTATATTCTACACCAGGCAGTGGTGGTAAATGAAAAGAGCATTAGCTTCTGAGTGAGACATGTTTATATTGGGATAGATAGGGAATAAACATTTGGCTGTATTGAAAGGACTGAGCCTTATCCAGATGAAGAGCAGATCTTATAGCTGTATAATAGTATATTGAGACCACTGTGATCTTAAAATATTTTGCCCTGTTTTGTACTGAGGAGTTCTACACTTATTTTAAGGACATCTATATGCATGAAGGGATTTGAGCATGGTAGGTGTGATTTTTTTTTTTTTTTTTTTTGAATTACAAAGCATCCACTAAACTCAATCTTAGAATATGCACTGTTTTTTCTTTTATAGTTTAAAAAACAAAAACAAACAAACAAAAAAACCTGTAAGCATGCACACAACTTCTGTGTTTTAAAATCTTGATAGGCCTGTGTGGAACTGGGAGTTGGACATCATCTTGCCTGCCATTAATTCTATCATTTAGTACCATTATTAGGTGTGAAATATCACCAAGTGTTTCTTAACAATTCTGTTATGTATACCAAAGATGTGGGAAAATTTAGTTGTGTCTAAGGTGTGAAAATTTCAGGATTTGTTTCGCATCTGACATTACTTTGCTTATTCCGTCATTTGAGGGCATTAATTTTATTTATTTTTAATGGGACCTCTGGTGGTGATATAGTGTTTCAGGTGGAGTTGGATTTTGTACTTGTTTGTGGAATTAAAATTTCTAAAATTTTGCAAATTCATGTATTTTGCGAAGGCTCCTTTTTAAATTTCTGTACTCTGGTATCTCTGAATGTCAAGAATTTGCACTCAGCTGTAATGCATTAACCTCAAAAGCATTGATTTGAGATGGATGAAGTAGCATTGAATTTAGGTAGTTACTACAAATAATGGAATGAGGATAGAACAATTTCTGTAATGTTAGAAAAGCGCTGTTCTTTTGATGAAGGAAAAATGGAATAAAGCTTCATTAATAGTAGCCTATTTACTACTTAAGAACTGTATTAAAAATTTGTGCCTACAAGTGAATTCATGCAGTGTTCTACATGCTTTATGTTTGTAAATTCTTTGGCCTTGAAAACTGAGCAACAAAGAAGAGGAGGATTGTCATAAGACATTTAAAAGAATTTTGAAGGAAACTTCAAATACATAAAACAATTTTGTGTGCTTCTTGTTAAATATTTTAGTACGACCGAAGACCACAGGACATATCAAGAAGTAGATAGTAATTTCAGCATTAAAAATTAAGTGTTGCAGTAACAACAGGCTATGTTTGAATTAATGAGCTGTGAGAGAATACGTTTAGGTACAGTTTTATTTTAGAACTCTAACTGTCTACACTGTTCATTTATTAATACATCTTTGTTGATCACTTTTTTGAGTATAAAGAACTCTGGTGTTCTTACAAAGGTCCTAAAGTAATTTTTAAAATAGGTGAAAGCCCTTATTTTCGTGACTGTAAAACATGATCTTACTTCTAGTGGAGCGTTTATGTTTAATTTCAGCCACTTCACTGTGTAGCTTTATATACTGATCCTTAAAATGCTGGAAGTCCTGAGTATTTTCCTGATGGTGTTTTTTCTTAGAAGCTTAATTCTGAAAATCTTTTTTGAAGGCTCTAAATTCAAGGAAACAGAAAGGGGGGAGAATTATAGAATTCCTTATGTTGGAGGGGACCTTAAAGATGATCTAGTTCCAACCCCCTGCCATAGGCAAGGTTGCCAACCACTAGATCAAGCTGTCCAGTATCCCATCCAGCCTGGCCTCAAAATGCCTCCAGGGATGGGGAATCCACAACTTCTCTGGGCAAGCTGTTCCAGTACTTCAGCACCCTCTGAGAAAAGAATTCCTTCCTAACATCTAACCTAAATCTCCTCTCTTTTAAATAGTTTAAAGCCATTTGTCCTATCATTATCAGGCCCTGGAAAAGATCAATTGCCCTCTGGCTTGTAAGCTGCTTTTAAGTACTGGAAGTCTGTAATGAGGTCTCCCTGGAGCCTTTTTTTTCCTCCACGCTAAACAGGTTCAGCTCCTCAATGCCTCTTCATAGGAGAGGTGCTCCGATCCTCTGATCATCTTAGGCCCTTCTCTGGACCCGTTCCAAGAGCTCCACGTCCTTCCTGTACTGGGGTCCCCAGATTTGGACACAGTACTCCAGCTGGGGCCTCCCAAGAGCAGAGTATAGGGGCACAATCCCCTCCTTCTGACCACCCGTCTTTTGGTGCAGCCCAGGATACCGTTGGCCTTCTGGATGGCAAGAGCACACTGCTGGCTCTTGTCCAGCTTTTTGTCCATCAGGACCCTCCTTAGGGCAAGATACCTCAAGACAGACTTGAACAAATACTTTTATAAAGATGGAGTATAATAGTAATATCCTCTGGTAGTTAAAAGAAAATAATTGTACTTTCTTGTATACAGACTGTTGTTACAGGAAGTCTTTAGAAGTGTACTGTATAAATATTTAATTGGAACGTAAGTCATTGCTACTAAAAACAGAAGAATTACATGTATGCAGCAGTAGAACTCTTCAACGACAGCTGAATGGGAAGAGAATATGTTCTGAGCAATGTCAGTTAAATCCAGTACATTTATCTCCTGGTAGGTTTGACTGCGGGACTCAACTGTTGAGAGTCATGACAGAACTATATATAGCTGAATCTTCCAATTACCAAGTGGCATTGTCACATGCTGAATTGAAAATATACCAGCAAAGTCTGCTTGGGATGGTATAGTCAAGCCATTATTCTGTATGCACTCATGTTTATTATTTCCAGTTTGAAATACTAGATGGGTATGTTTTCTGAGCAGTTGTTCAAGTTGCATTTTGAATGACCCAGTCCTCTGCTGTGCTCCAGCTCCTTTTCAATGAGTTAGTGATGTAAGGAAGCCCTGAACAGGCAGGTCTGGTCTTCTGACTTCCTCAAACATGTTAGAGTAATTCTCAGCACGCAGGAAACAGCAGTATACTTCATGCCTACAGCTCTTTATGAATACTAGAGAATGCCTTGGAGCTAGTGGGAAGGGAGGTGTAAATGGCTTGCATGGAATTTACCTAAGCCAGGATGAATTGATTTATTATTATTTTTTTTAACATTCCATTGTTGCTTGTCTGGGAGTCAGTTTCATGTTCTCTGTCAGCAAAGTTCACTGTATTATTATTATTATTAGGGATGTTATTATTAGGGAGGGGTTGGATGTCAGGGGGAAATTCTTTACAGAGAGAGTGGTGAGGTGCTGGAACAGGCTGCCTAGAGAGGTTGTGGATGCCCCGTCCCTAGAAGTGTTCAAGACCAGATTGGATGGGGCCCTGGGCAGCCTGGTCTAGCATTAACTGGTCTAGTATTAAATGGAGAAGTTGGTGGCCCTGCGTGTGGCAGGGGGGTTGGAGATTCATGATCCTTGAGATCCCTTCCAACCCTGGCTATTCTGTGATTCTGTGTGATTCTGTATTAGCTGTTTTTCAAAGTTAGGAAAATCTATTCTGCACAAAGAACTAAAACAAGTTGAAAATACCTTTGTGGCAAGTAGGTCTAGATCTTTTTCTTAAAATGATGTGCTGAGGTTAGTATTCTGCAGTTTCTTGTAACCATGTAATGACCAATAATATTTAATAGAGTCAATTTTCAATTACAGTGACCAGAAGCAATTAAATAGAACTGTATTATGGCCATAGGCTTTCAGTGCTCATGAATGAAAGACAGCATTCTGGTTATAATATCAAGGTTTGTTTTTATGTTAAGTTTTCCAATATTTCAAGGTAGCCTGGTGACATACTATAAATATTAGCCCTTGAGAGTAATTCTTACCCATATGGGCTATGTGCACCTTGATATTGTCAGAGGGACTACAGGCCTCCTCTGTAGGAATTCATGATTGTATATACAGAAATTGCATGCTAGCCTTCAAAAGGATGAATTTGACTGAAGCTGTTGTCTTCAGTGGCTTTGCACTAAGTCACAGAGTGTCACATTTGTCTTTAGTTTTGTACCTGATGTTATGGGTGGTAATGTTTTTTTACTTGACATTATCTTCTGTCACTTTATTTCTGGCTGCATTGCTTTTCATTGTTTTAAATTTGGTGTACTGCATTAATGTAACAAACATTAGTGTAAAAATGTAAATGCTATAAAATACCTACATAGTAGGCAATAATGCAATGGTCAACAAAGATACACAGTTCAAACACAACATTTTCATGTTTTGTGATGTTTCAGAAAGAAAAACAAGTTATAGTTATTTTTGGACTTGGCATTTATGAAGTAGCATACAATAGGCTGGCACATTTCTCGTCTTTGTGAATAGATGAGCTTGTCTACATAACATTTTTCATGGTCTTTCCCAGCATGCTGATTTCATTTGTTTATATGAACATATTTGCTTTACTTGTGATAGAGAAAGAAGTGGGCTTTTTGTTTGTTTGTTTCAATAAGTTTTATCTTGCTCTGTCCTTCAGAAATTGTCAATTAGTAATTATTAAGACTCTCTGAACATCTGTCTTACTGGAAATGCTTAAT